TACATGCTACTGATATTATAATATATATTTGTATACGATTATATTTTGTTGGTAAAAATAAGTTCAGCCCACGGCTATAGATACTATGGAGTATGGTTGCGGGACGCAGTGCCGGCGTTATAAGATTTTGAGGGGGGGGGGTGAGGTCAAGTATTTGCCGACTGAAATATAATTTATGGCGACTGTAAAAATGTCGACCCATAATTTCTTAAAATAAACTATGTGAAGTACCTATAAAAATGCATGGTTTTTCTGTATAATTGGTAAGGTGTGCTAAAATAATTAAAATTTGATAAATATTATACTAAAAATATAAGATATAAAATTTTTTAAAAAATTGAACTAAAACATTTTGAATAGTTCTATACTTCTATGCATATATAGTCTGTTAGTCTGTTATACTACTAATTGTTACTTGAAGTCTGAAGATCATACAGCCACTAGCCGTACAGGTAGATACACTGTACAGGATTGTCTGGATTATTTAAACTTTAAAAATTGTGTATTATTAAATTAATATATGATGATAAGGGTTATAGGAACAAAAATCTAAAATAAAACTTCGGCATCTGCATGTTACACTTATGGAAGAACCTAGGTAAACCACCGTCGTGTGAAAATTGATCAGTAACTTAATACTTTCATATTGATTTGTGCTTGGCATCACTATACGCTTGGCATCCATTTCCATCATATACAAATTTTGACAAAACTGGATACTCAAAAGAAGGATAAATTAATACCGTTTTTTGTTTGTAATGATTAATAATTTAATTCAAATTTAACACATCCATTCAGTGACACTCAACGGTAAGTGAACATACCCCCCCCCCCCCACAATACATTTTTCGATGCGGACATAGGCGTGGCAGACTACCCTGGCAGCCTAGGGTTGTGCCCTGCAATTTTTGAAAGGTGCCGGTCAACTGCGTTTTAAATCAGAAGGGTTTTTTTAAAACTTGATTTTTTCGTGATATTTACCATTTACTTACAAAGAAATGTTCAATAAAATTAGGTAGATAATATATTTATTTAACATGTATTGTCAAATTGATTTCCTGACTTCAGAAATTGGAAAAACCTACTATAAAGTATAAACACTTGAGCCATAAATGTTAATTTAGATAAAATGACAAGTCGCTTAAATTATTTTAAAAATTCAAAGATACAAGACAAGTGTAAGTTGAGTTCTTTTTCATTTTATACAAATATTTTAAATAACAGCGAAGACACTTCTAAAACACAATTTAGATAATATGATTATATTTTTTAAACTATTTTATAATTCTATAATTATTTTGGAGTAAATCTGCAGCAGTACCAAAATATGAAAACTATACATAATATTATTTAACATAAAATATTATACCGCTGATTAAAACACCTATCGTGAGGACGGACTTGGACTCAAAATGTATTAGTTTGTACACAGCACAGTAGTACATTTATATATATAATATAAACTATAAATTAGGTATCTATTTTAAATTTTCACGAACGTATGCGTAATTATATAAATTTATACGTATTCATAATAGTATATTATGTACATTGTGCATCAGGGGCGTATTTATGGGGGTGGCTGGGTGGGCTGCAGCCCCCCCTGAAATTTCAAGAAAATCCAAAAAATATGAATGTCAATAAAACTTTATTTGTTGGGTAAAAAAGCTTGAAAATTTAATACAAGGCTCCTGCTTTATTGTTACAATAGCAGTTGAAAAATATTAAAAATCCTTAGTCATAGTTTTTTTATAAGCATTAAAAGTTTGAATCTTGACAAAATACGGAAAAATCACAAAACTTAAAATTTTGCTGAATGTTTTCATTTTTATACACCAAAAAAATTTGAAAATATTTTGCCTCTTTTTGAGCTATTTACGGACATTGACAGTTTTAATTTTTCTTAGTTTTTTTTCTATAAATATCAATAAAAATTTTTTTGTTGCGTAAAAAAGCGTGAAAATTTAACTCAAGGCTCCTGATATATTGTAACAATATTAGTTGAAAAATATTAAAAATACATAGGCACAATTTTTTCTTATAATCATTTAAAGTTCGAATTTTGACAAAATTTATCAAATTTAAAATGTAATAAATATTTTGTAATTAAAAATTTATAAAATGTTCAACTTTCATAGTTAAGGATTGGAAATTTAAAACAATGGTCCACGTAAATAGGTAAATATATAAATTACTTTATTCACAATAATAATATCATCAAATATACTTAGTAATATCATAGGCTGACTGACCGTTTTCGCTTAGAATCGTTTTTCTTATACAATGATATTATATCATTGAATTCAAATTTTACACCATCCATTACAGTGACCCACTTGTAACCTACTGTACAGCAGAGCGACATCCACTTACCCACTTTTTTGATTTATTGAGTGACTATGTTGATAATTTTGTTCAGCCCCTCCCGAAATAAAATTCTGGATACGCGCCTGTTGTGCATACTCGTAACAGTCGTAACCTTAATGCTCAGTTATTCACCATAATATTTTACTGTTAAAAGCGCAGTTATAAACATACATATATAAAATCGATTTTATAGTCGACACCAATACGCTGTCCATGAGCATAATATTATTATTTACTTGTTACTAAATACTTTTAATCGACACCATTAATATTTACTACAACTCCAGTATAATACGTCTTGCAGATTGATAATCGAAAGTGTATTTTTATTTGACTTGAGACATTCGACAAATGTCTGATGCAGAAATCGATTTAGGAAATTGGAACTTAAAAAGTATACTATCAAAAATCGTACGAGGTTTGTTAAAAATTTTGTTTTATATTATTTTCTACTACATTACTTTTAGCACAGTCTTTACTGGTACATTCGTAATTTACTCATTGGCGTAACTGAACTCTGAAAGTTTTGAGGGGAGGCAGATGGATTGACAATTACGCATTATTATATTTCACGAATTTTTATTCAACAGTTTGTTTTATTTTTATAATAATAATATTAGGATATGATATTAGTTAATGTTATGTGGTCTCCTTGTAATATTGTTTCCCTGACAATAATTTTTGGTAGTCAACATAAACAACTATAATAGTATTTTATAGTAATATAACGCGAAACGAGCTTGTAATATTTTTTCCAGAGAATTTTCTACGGTTTATCAGGCATTTACACGCTATACGTTCATACGTCTAACGGGTATTTATCACTAACTTAGAAAATCATATAATTATGTGGTTTTGGAAGATGTTTGTGATTAGTTTTTCTCTCGCATCAATTTGTTTGGATCGTGGAGGCTGTGCACCGTACAACTATTTTGGCGTCGAAGATATTGTGGACAATTCGGATGTCCGGCGGCCGTGGTCGAAATCTGGCAGCCAAAAAACACGTCTTGTCAGAGAGTAAGATATTCAGAATATCGTTTTTCCTATTTTTGAATGGTCGCTTTCATAATATTACTATATATACATGTTAAAATAATAACGATAATATTATTATGGTCGATCTAATTTATTTTCTCAATGAAATCAAATGATTTTCATGATGTTTGCGTTTCATACAGTGTTTCGGAAACCAAATCTACGAATAATCTTCCGACTCGCGGCCTCTTTTACCCGGATGACATGTTTTTCACCAATTGGGTGACGAACGTATCCATTACTGAAGAATGTTCCAAGAACCGTTCATCAGGGACGACTCCGTCGTGTTCCATTTTAAAGAGCACTTTGAAAACAAAGTAAGTGTTGAAATCTCTATTTTTAAAAATATACGACCCTGTGCGCCAGAAACTGGTTTTTGCTTGAGATATTCGTGAAAATCGACGACATTGATAATAAGAGAGCTTGAGTACACAATATTTTGATATTTATACTATTTTTACGGGACTTACGAGAAGAATATTTGGTTGTATTAAAATTATTTATATGCTACTCAACATAATGACGAAACGGCATAATATTGGGTAGGTAACTTAAAGTATTTCGTGTTCGAAATTTTGAAACGAATCGACTGTGACTTGTCTAAAACGTTTAATCTTTTTTAGTCAACACTTAGGCATATTTTTACAGGGCCTATAAATCCTATATCTAAGTATAGCGTGATATTATGCCTTCTAGAAATAATGATAAATCAACTAAATACCAGACAACACTCGGTCAGCAAAAATCCACGTCTGCTGTGAAAAGTTCGTTGAGACACCAACACACATCCACGTCAGGCATGTTAAGGTCATCGAGGAGCGAGAAAACGTCCACCTCAAGAGTGTTAAGTAGTTCATCGAGCCGTGAGCAAACATCCACGTCAGGAGTGTTGAGTTCGTCGATCCGCGAGAAAACGACTACGTTTGCTGTGCCAAATTCGTCGAGCAGGCAAAAAACATCAACTTTTTCTGTGTTGAGTTCGTCGACGGTGGAACAAATGTCCACGTCTGATGTTCAAAGTTCAACGACCCACCTACAAACTTCCTCGTTTGTTCGGCCGAGTTTGCCAAGACGCCAAAAAACGTCCACGTTTGTTGCGCCAAGCTTGCCGAGACGCAGAAAACAATCCACGATTGCTGTTACAAGTTTGTCGAGATACCATAAAATGGTCACGTTTTTCGTCCCAATTTCACCGATTGAGCATCCCAAGTCAAGGTTTGATGGGCGAGGTACGACAAGCAGCCCAGGCAACTATGATTTTTTAGTGGAAAGTTCGACCAGCGGACAACGTCAGTATTCCCTTCATAATTCTTCGAGACACCGACGAAAGTATACGTTTGACGTGGACAATTCGTCTAGTGGACACAGAAAACCTACTCATAGTCCGGCAACAACAATGGCTGACCATACACCTGACCTCGACTATTTCGACAGCGAAGAAAGGCGTTGATTTATTTATGAAGAACCGTCAAAACGACTTAGACGTGTTTAGTGTTACGCCAAAATGCATTTGCAATAATTCAATTTTTAGGTATTACAAATTCAAAAACTATTACATATTATACATTTCTTACGTTGTCCGCTGGTCGAACTTTCCACTAAAAAATCATAGTTGCCTGGGCTGCTTGTCGTACCTCGCCCATCAAACCTTGACTTGGGATGCCCAATCGGTGAAATTGGGACGAAAAACGTGACCATTTTATGGTATCTCGACAAACTTGTAAGAGCAATCGTGGATTGTTTTCTGCGTCTCGGCAAGCTTGGCGCAACAAACGTGGACGTTTTTTGGCGTCTTGGCAAACTCGGCCGAACAAACGAGGAAGATTGTAGGTGGGTCGTTGAACTTTGAACATCAGACGTGGACATTTGTTCCACCGTCGACGAACTCAACACAGAAAAAGTTGCCTGCTGTTTTTTGCCTGCTCGACGAATTTGGCACAGCTAAAGTAGAGGTTTGGCGCGGCTCCTCGACACGGTACATCAAACAAAATATGGTTTCTCGACAATGCGTAGTATTTTTAATTTGTAATCTTTATTAATATGTTGTATGTTATGATGTAATTATCACGTTTGATAATAATATAGTTTGTATTATTGTTTAGAATATCAAATAAATTATTAAAAGATTAAAAAAAACGATGTCAATAATTATTACAAAACTTAGTCATAACAAGTATTGGTATTTGTATTTGTTCAGTATACAAGGCAATCAATACAGGCATACAGCTAACCCACGGTATTTAAAAATTTTAAACATGTGAAAGATACGTCTGCCCTGCCGACGTGAAAGACAGTAACTGATAATCTTTCGCAAATGCAATTATTGTATTTGGTCATTTTACATAGATTTTCCTAGGTTTAAATGAAGTTAAGCGTCAATTAGACCATCTAAATGAGCTTATTGAATATTTACTATATACCGAAATATTATTGAATACTGGACAAATAAGCAGTAAATTATATTTCCTAGAAAAAAATGCAGCATAATATTATATGCAGTGTAGTTACAGCTTATTAAATTTATTTGGCGGTATATATAACGCGGATAATGTATAGTAACCAGTGTCTTGCACAGATCACTTTAAAATTATCTAGATAAGATAAATGATAACAGATGATACTTTGACAATTTATATAGATGAGATAATAGATAATTGAATGTATCTAGATGAAATATAAGATATCCTACTTTTTATCTAGATAAAAAACAGATAATTTAAAAATTTTTTGCATTTTAAAACTTTATAAATTAAATTATAATGTACCTATACACTGTACACATAATTTTTTAATTAATACTTTTTATTATTTTATATGAATTCATAATATGGTTTAAATTAACAAATTCAGATTAAAAAAAAAGTACCTAACGTTTAACGCATATTAATATATTGGACATTTTAAATTATCTGGACACTTAATTTTATGATAATATTTATCTATTCATTGCAAAAAAAACATAATAATCAATGCAGATAACCTAATCTAAAAAAAATTACAATTTACAATTTATTTTGTTTGTTTTTAAACATATTATACTAACAATCAAAATTATTCCGCAGTTCAGATGATGCCTTGTAAACAAATTGTGTCATATAGAGCGTTGTTTTAAATGTTAAAAATAAAAGTTAATGATATTATAACCATAAAAACAACGGAGTTATAATTTCCTTACAAAAAGCAGTATCTACTCAATCTTGCCAAAAAAAAAAAAAATTGTATGTATTTTATTTAGGAAAAGGAAAATTATCCAGAACGATTTCTGTGGTAAACCACTTAAATTAATAATGAGTAAAACATTATTAAATAAAAATATATTATATAAATATATTATATATATATAAATATAATTATTTTAATATATTATTAAACCCATTTCCAAACATTTGCATTTTTGTAGATACTGCCCTTCAGTATATCAGGGCAGACATATAGGGCAGTATTTTATTGTACGTGAATATCATGACTACGAGAAATACGGGCTAGTCATAGGTTTATATATTCTGTAAAATTTAAAAGTAAATTCAAATTAACTATGCAAGACGTAAATACATTTACGTTTGGTACATTAATTCAATAATAATAATATGTAACTACGTTATTATATTGCATTAAAACAATTATATAACAATGTTTATGTAATTATAATAATATGTTCCAAAAGTATATTATTTTCAGAAACATTGTAAAGACGATTTAATTTTTTTTTCTAGGGCTTTATTATTTAAACGACCCAAAGGTATATGTTTGACAATTATATATATTTTACATACTAGATATAAATTGTATATAATTACACGTTGATGGAGTCACTTTCAATGAAGTACCTCCTGTCTTAATCTAAAATCTTAAACTAGGTCGTATGGTTTCAGACGCTTAAGACGTCTGATGTCCTCGGAGTTATCTAATAGTTGGATGGCCAATAGATTGACATGGTGATCTAGCCTCGTCTCGTGTTTGCGAGCAAATCTTTGGATTTCTTCTGCTATTGTAGGCAGTATCATATCACGCAGTGGCGTCCGCAGGGGGGGGGCTAAAGGGCTAAAGCCCCCCCCCATTTCCCGTATTATTATTACTAAAAAATATCAATCAAGTTAAACTGTCAACTATAGTAGGCAAGACGTAAATTTCAAATATGTCTTACCAGAATGAATTCATTTTTGAAAAAACATTGTATTTGTCACATACCAATTTTCATAAATTATCTGTAATTTTTCGGTAAAAGTATGGACTATTTGTATGAAAGACCTTGTATTAAATTGTCTAGCCTTAGCCATACACATTTAATATTTTATAAGTTTTGAACTACAAATTAACTGTGGTTTTGACGAAATTTGAACTTTAAATGCTTGAAAAAAAATAAGAATGGTGAAAATAAGATGCCTATGTATCGTTAATATTTTAGTTATAATAAAAAAAACATTACATTTTTAATCTTTTTGATCGAATAAATAATTTTTTATTGATATTTATAGAAAAAAAAAATTAATTATTCAAATACTATCAAAGTGAAGACGGTATAACCAAACATTTAAATACATTTTCATTTTTTTTTCTCAAATTATTTTTAAAGCACTGAGCATTTTCAATTTCAACCTCCTAATAGAACCAACTAGATCCAATTTGCTTCCAAAAACATACACTGAGCATCAAAGCTTATGATCAAAGCATTTTTTCTACCAGAAAAGTTGAAAAGTTACAAACATTTTAAAATACCTCAAATAAACGTCTGAAATTATTAGACTGGACAAAATGAAAAGAAAATTGTAACTAATTTTCAACCCCCCCCCCCCATTGAAAAATCCTGCGGACGCCACTGATATCACGGTGAATTAAGTTGTTTCTCTCGAACCGGTAGGCTGCAGTGATGGTCAGGAGGGCAATGTTTTGACAGCGTTGTATTACATCGATGTTAGACTTACTGGCACAACCCCACAATTGAATGCCATATATCCAGATCGGTTTTATAATAAATTGCTACATACAGTAGACGTTTGTTTTCGATGGTTAACTCGGAGTGAGGTCCGACTAACCAATAAAGTTTTCGAATTTTTTCTTTAATCTGAATTTTTTTTATCGGATGTGGTGTTTCCAGTTCAGACGAGAGTCAAGGTGCATTCTAAGATATTTTTCTGAATCTTTTTGTGAGATTGGTGATTGATTCAGTACTATTTGGATATTTTCAGTTTTGCGTAACGTATAGTTAACGTGCACCGATTTATCGCCATTGATCTTAATTTTCCAACGTCTTGTCCAGGTAAAGATTTTGTCAATTGACCTCTGTAAGTTATCAGTTGCAGTGAGCTGACTATTACGTGTTGACAAAATTGCCGTATCATTGGCAAACATAGCTAATGTTATGTTATCATTGTATGGTATATCAGCCGTATAGAGTAAGTACAGGATAGGTCCTAAAACACTACCTTGCGGTACTCCAGCTGATATATCTTTCCATTCGGTTATCGCTTCTTCGTGAATGACTCGAAATTGACGGTCGGTCAAGTATGATTCAAGAAGTGCACACCAGGTATGTGGCAGCTGATCACGCAGTTTGATGAGGAATCCTTTGTGCCAGACTTTGTCAAAAGCCTGGGCTACGTCAAGGAATACTCCACAGCAGTACTTTTTTTCTTCAAGAGCTTTACTAATTACATTAGTAACTCGATGTACTTGATAGATTGTTGAATGTTTGTTGCGAAATCCAAACTGATGTTCTGGTATAAGATTTTTTCCTCTATAATCGGTTTTAAACGTTTAAGCAAAAGTTTTTCTAAAAGTTTAGATAAACTTGGAAGGAGTGATATCGGTCGGTATGATGCGACATTTTCAGGTGTTTTTCCTGGTTTGAGCAACATGATAACTTGTGGCCGTTTCCATTGTTCTGGAATGTATTCCGTGCGCAAAATAGCGTTGTATATATGTGTAAGATGAATGATAGCCTTCTTTGGAAGTTCTTTCAGTATTTTTGGGCTAATTTCATCATAGTCTGGTGATTTTTTTGGGTTTAAGTTGTCATCTATTTCTTTGGCATTTTCTAACGGCGAGAAATGTTTGATTTTTTCTCGTGCTGCATTAAGTGGTCGGCATTGCAAAAAGTCGAGCTCAGAGTCAATAGTGTTTGGCATAAATACATGTTCAAGATGCCGAGCGTATATTTCGGCTTTTTCTTGTTCACTGCGTGCCCAGGTGCCGTCTTCCTTACGAAGGGGTGGTAACTGAACACGGGGCCTCTTCATGAGTCTCGTGGCTTTCCATAACGAATAATCGGTATTAGTCGTCGCAGTGAGACCACTCAAGTATGATTTGATCGTTTCATTTTTCATTTCTTTGATTTTGTCATGAAGCATTTTGCTAACTCGGTTACATTCCGTTTTATCTGTTGGGTTCCGTGTACTATGCCATAATGTTCGTCTCGCTCGACGTTTATGTTGGACTAGTTTTCTTATTTCTAGTGGGTAAGTTAACTCGTAATTACCATTGATAGCTACCGGAGTTGCTATTTCCGCCGCACTAACAATGTCGTCGGTTATTTTTTTTACTGCAATATTAATATCTGCTATTGTTCTTAATCGAGTTGAAAGTATTATGTTTTCTTCGAGGGTAATTCTGAATAGGTCCCAATTCGTTTTTTTGTTTGTTATAGACATTTTTTTTTTGTTTCATTATCACATCAGAGCTTAGTGAGAGAAACACAGGAATGTGATCCGACGTAAGTTATAATAGTCCTTCAACTTTGTAACGATGCAGAATTGCTATTATAATTAAATATAACGGAATATGTGTCGCCATCTATACACGCGCCAACACGCGAACCCAAACTATTAAACACGCGCCGCCGTAACGATAGGAATAC